TCCACATGGAGAGGAGAATGGAAACCTTTCGTCATGCTTTCGTCACAAGCGTCATGCTGTCGTCCCACGGAGAATGGAACCCACGCCTGCCCCTCCACATGGAGAGGAGAATGGAACCCACGCCATGGAACCCATGCCCTTGGGACGTCCCAAGGAGAATGGAACTCCCCTCCACATGACGAGGAGAATGGAGACCTTTTGTCATGCTTTCGTCCCAAGGAGAATGGAACCCCCCTCCACATGGAGAGGAGAATGTAGACCTTTCGTCATGCTTTCGTCCCAAGGAGAATGGAACCCACGCCCCTCCACATGGAGAGGAGAATGGAACCCACGCCACTCCACATGGAGAGGAGAATGAAACCCACACCCCTCCACATGGAGCACATGAAAAGAGAAAGTTATAACCAGTAAGCCACATGTTACTTAGTAGTATTAAAAGCGCAAACAAATAGTAATGTTTCAAGTTAATACCTTCACATTATCCCATATCGACGAGGTAGAAGGAAGTTATAGTGAATAAATACCTCTTTGTAGTTAATGAGGATAACGCGTGTGAAGTAGTAACCACAATCGGCTCTCTCTCCCTCTGCAAATAAAAGAAAAATCATCTCTCTCTCTACGCCAATAAAAAAAAACGAACGACTCTCTAGTTAAGGATACATTATGAATAATTGAGGTTTCTCTGCCCTATCTTGTAATCCATTGAACAAAAAAGATTCACCGCACATTAATGTATATAAATCATCCCTCTCTCTCTCTCTAAGTCATCCGAAAACCTCTACTGAATTTCTCGTGCAATCGGTGATTTGAAATAGGGATTCAATATGTGCGAAGGCTCTTTTGATGCTCAAAACCTCTCCAATTGATCATCTTGACTATGGGATATAAGGATATGAAAAGAAAAATTTTAAAATCTTAAAAATAGTTCATCTTATAACACATTATTCGGACCATCTATTTTCAAATATATTTAGGGGTAGAAATACATTGTTTATTTTTATTTTTTTTAAAATAGAGGTGGAAATAGATTTTTATGATATCGTTAGAGCAATGAACAATAAGAACAATAAAACATCTTATGGCAACATTTAGAGGCGCACCTTTGATTGTTTGAGCTGGGTACTTTATACAAACCACACCCGATCATCTTGACCTTGATAAAAAAGAATAGAATTTCAAGTCCTAAAATTGGTCTATATTGTTGCATAAAGAATAGATCTGTATCATTTTTTGAGCTACAAATTTCATAATTGGCGGTAGAAATAAAGTTCAGAATCATCTTAGAGATCTCCTATGTCCAAAGCGTTCTCTAAACAAGATTTCGAAATGAGCCTTTACTTTTTTTTTTCCATAAGCCTTGGGCCTAATGGAAACTGTATCCCATTTAAATTGATATGGATCACACTAAAAAAAATAGCCAGGGATTATATGCTACTACTACAAGAGGCATTTTTACTATTCACTCCCTCAGGCAACATCCATCTTTGGAATATTCATGGGGCCCGAATTTTTTATTGCAACCTCTTCCGATCTAAATCGTGAGAGCTGAAATCCAAATTTATAAATCTCTAAAATTTGGTGACTTTTATGAGTATCGCAAAATTTGATATAAAAAAACCACTAAGTAACCCTGTTGCCTGAGAATAAATGTACAGAATACCGTTAAAATAAATGTACAAAATGCTCCAGCAAAAGCCTACTATGCGCTCCCTAGCATAGGTTGCAGCATGTGCGACTTTTCTTTTTTTTTTTGGGGTATAATTCAGTGGGGAATATAGGCCCTACCTATTTTTGAAATGGTCAGCGGTTTTTGAAGTTATCAGTGGAACTGAAAGCAACTGAGATATGGGGTCTCTAACTTGGTGAAATATTGAGTAAGAAAACACTTAATAGAGACCACTGGGTCTCTCACTTGCAGGCCAAAAGTAAGGATCAAAAGGCTTGCTATCGACCGTCCCTATCTCAAAAATCAGGAATTAGGATAAGTAAATAGATGCCAAGTTGCTCGTCTTGCAACACTTTCTCTCGACTATCCAATTCAAGTTTTCGCATGTTCATAAAAAATGCTTCAAACTCAATAAGCCAAGGTGAAAATTGGACTTATGGGGCACTACAGTATTTTGTGGCACTGGGATTGCTTCATCCATGGCATCGCCAAATGTGCACACATTATAAAGAAATACAGGTAGCGAACATGGGGCCGAATCGAGAATCTAGCCACTCCATCAATGAAGATAATGCGTGCATGTGTGAAAGACCATGATATGCACTTTCATTATAATTCATTTGGCCAAATTTCTCAAGAGAATAACTTGAGGAGTGTCTTCAATATCTACATTATCCATCCTCTTTATCAGATTACTAATTCTTCAGCCAAAAACTTCTCAATTTCAATGAGAAAGGCTCTAAGTCTAAACCAGTAGATCATTTTCCTTTCTTAATTAATTTGTAGTCAGTTTCCTTGTCCTCTTCAAGGGCATTCTGTCTTCAAATAGCTAACTCCACACTGTAAAAAGCCATGACCAAGGCATCATTTTATCTTCAACAGCAATGATTATTATCATTTAAGGCAAATTCATTGGGGCACCGATGTCAATGTCAGAGCCTTCAAACGCTTCGATCCGGCTCCGTGTTTACTAGAAAATTTAGGATTAATGTGCCCTTCATTATTATCTTCAGACCTTATTCACTTTTCATCGGGTTTGTAGTTTACTTGCATCCTTAAAATTGGGGCCAAGAGTTTTGACTTGATTGTTTATCATATTTCTGTCAACTTTGCTTCCTCCTTCACATTTGGCACGTTTTCACTCCAAAGAATTGGCTTTATAGCTTCATCTCAAGCCAATATAGAACATTCACCTCTCTAGCCTCAAAAGCATTTTGCAGTATCACCAAACTCAAGCCCAAGCCATCGATATATGAGGAGCCCTCAATGCCATATACGATATATCATACTCTACTCCTCGAAGCCTTGGCTTGAAAACCTATAAATGTCAAACCCCAAAACTTTAAATGTTTTGGCTTTACCAAATTTCACACCAGTTCCACCTTTTTCTCTCTCGATCCAACTCGAGCAACATTACAATACATCACTGTTGATGCATTGGAACTTGCAATTAATTTTTAAATTTCTTCTCCATCTCAACTTCCTGAGCTCTTCATGTGCGTCGCCACCTCAGCCAACATAGAATACATCATACTCGTCTTATGAACCAAACCATCACCCACAATTGAATTAACACCAAACCTATCAACCTCAACCAGACTACACCCTGGCTTCTCCTCTGAAACCCTATTCTTTATCATCCTCCTCACCTTCTCAACATCGTCCCATCTGCCATTGGCTGCATATATATGTGATAATAACAAGTAAGGCCCAATATTTTGAGGCTCCATATCAATAACCCTCTTAGCTATGCGCTCACCGAGTTCCATAGGCATTTGACCAATTAACTCTTTAAAGTCACAAAGTAAACCAGCTCTTCTAAGCAGGACAATCATACAACCACAGTGCTCGACCTTAGGCTCGATCCCATATGTTCGACTCATCAAGTCAAAATACCAACACCCCTCGACCACTAGCCCTGCACGAGTGCAAGCACTAAGAACACAAATGAAGGTAGCCTGATTAGGCTTAACACCCATCTTTTGCATCTCGGTAAACATATCCAGAGCCTTTTGACCACCCCCATTTGTAGCATAAGCCCCAATTATAGCATTCCAAGAAACCACATTCTTTTCAGGCATCTCATTGAAAACCTTTCGAGAGTCTTCAATGCTTCCACATTTTGCATACATTGTCAATAGAGCAGTGCCCAATAGAGCATCGAACTCTATTTCGCTTTTGTTTTCGTTTATATATGAATGGACCCATTTCCCACGATTGAGCTCACCTGTGTGAGCGCATGCACAAAGCACACTTACAAGCGTGGCCTCATTTGGCCGGAGGCCAAAAGCACACATCTCATCAAACAATTTGAGACCCGCTTCATAATTCTTAGTCCTAATGCAGAGTGCAATCATAGTATTCCAAGAAACCAAGTTTCTCTTAGGCATTCTATCAAATAAATCCTTTGCCTGAAAGAAATTTTCCTGTTTGGCATACCCATTGATCATGGCATTCCAAGAGACTTCATTTCTAACAGGCATCATCTGGAAAAGATTGACAGCGGCTTCCATGTCTCCCACCACGCAATACCCATTAACCATCGAATTCCATGAAACCATGTTTCTTTGAGGCATCTCATCAAACATCTCCCTAGCAAGTGCAACCTCTCCATTTTTAGCATACCCATCAACCATTGAATTATACGACACAATATCTAGCTCCAAACTCGTATCGAACAGTCGGCGAGCAGCCATTAAATTTCCAAATATGGAATACATATGAACCAGAGAATTCCTAACATAAAGATCCCATTCAAGCCCAAGCTTCAAAACCCAACAATGGTTTTTCTCTCCCTCCAAAACCCACTTCAATTCTGAAGAAATCTTCACCAAAAGCGGGAATGTGCAGTGATTCGGCTGAATCTCCCTCTCTAACATGTGGTGGTAATAGAATTTCAAGGCCTTTTTGAGGGAATTATTTTTAATTAAGCTCTTAATTATGGTGTTACAGGTAAAGGCGTCTGGTTCTGGTGTGTGTGTGAATACGAGGATAGCGCGATCCGGGCCGTCCGATGGCACGGAGGCGAGGAATTGGACGGCCCTGCTTGCAGCAAAGGCGTCGTTAGAGAGACCGCAGACGAGCATGAGGGCGTGGATTTGGTGGAACTCTGTCAGTGATCCGCATGTGTCAATGAGAGAGATGATTGGGTATTCAGTTGTACGGAAGTCCGGGTTCAAGGGGGAGGCCTTTGTGCGCAGGAGCTCTCGAGTTAATGGAGAGAAGGCCATTCGGATTCTCCCGGCCATTGAGAAGGTAGGGTGAGAGTCTGCTTCATTCGAATTTAACTATTTTTGGAGAGTAAAATTTTATAATTATATAAAAAAATAGATTCCAATTTTTCGATGTCAATTATGACAAAATTTAAAGGTGTGTCTTACTTTCATTGTTTAAATTTGAAACCTCACACAAACCTCACCCTGGCTTTAATCTTTAAGGAATATATAATCTCTAATGTGACTTGGAGATGATTAATGTGTAGAAGAAAATCTTGCAAGGTAAAAATGATACTTCTTGAAAGAAATATTAAGGCCATTGTTCGTATTTTTCTTTGGAGCAACTTTATGCCTCGATGTAGCCTATCACATAAAACAGTTTTCATTTGGAACTAGGCGATCCAAATCGGATTCTGTACCTCACTCGGCCTATTCCTCTCTAACTGTTCTTGTTCTGGATAAAACTCGTTAAAGCGACTTTATTCCTCCATGTAGCGTAACACATAAAACAGTTTTCCTTTGGAACTAGGCGATCCAAATCGGATTCTGTACCTCACTCGGCCTATTCCTCTCTAACTGTTCTTGTTCTGGATAAAAGTCTTTAGAGCTCTACTATTTGGATGAGTCCACTCAAACTTCACAAAACGACCTCGGCATGGGTAAGCTCCAGGGGCCAGCTTCAGCCCCCTTTTCTTCTCTTCATCTCTCTCAAAGGCCTTTTTCTCTCTCTAAAACGGGGCAAATCTAACCCCTTTCAAATCTCTCTCTCTCTCAAAGGTGGTTCCACCCCCTTTATCTCTCTCTAAAACGAGGCAAATCTACCCCCTTTCAACTCTCTCTCTCTCTCGAAGGAGCCAGAAATCAAACCCTATTTCTCTCTCTTTGGGCTGCTAGATCTTCACCCTTTATTCTCAAAAGGGATAAAAATCTGCATCTTTTCTTCTCTTTAAAAAGGATGGAACTTACACCCCTGTTTTCATTTTTCTTTCTCTAATCCCAAATGCTCTGTTTGAACAAATAAATGTGTGCCGATCCACACAACCTATCCATGTTTTGAAAAATATTTTTGCCATACTACTACTTTAAAATCTATATTTTTTATTTTATCAAATATTATAAAATTTGAGATGATTTTGAAGTATTTATTGAAACTCTTTCATAACCATTTTCATAAAGGACATCGTTTTGATAAGTTCACCTATTACCTACTGGTCCCTTGTCTATCTAAGGTCCATCTCTAAGATGGATGTTAAAGAAATATTACATCCAGCAAAAGTTAAAATAGACGGCGAAGAAAGGAATTCCAAACATTAACACTTGAACTTTTTAAAAAAGAAAATTTTCAAATTTAGATCATTGTCATGATTGAGATTATCAAACTCTAAAATTTTAAATAAAAAATTCATCTTTGAGATATGTTTGTTTTGTAGGGAGACCGCTGAAGAATAGTGTGTGTCAGCCAACTCACTAAACACTTTCCCTTTCATAAAAGATTATATGTTCTGCGGGAGCAAAATGTGCACTCACTTCCTTGGGCATAGACCTATACTTGAAAACCCCAAGTGGAAGTGAAAGGATCATCGATTTCTTGAATGAGCTTTCAATATTTCAATACACATAATTTACACAAGGCCTAATTCATATGCATATAGAGATCATATCGATCTAATTGATTAGACAGTTGAAAGAGAGCAAAAAACAATATCACATATTCTCAGATTAAGCACATATAAAACCAAGTCTACACAGTTGCATCAACAAGGTGTCTTCACTCAGCTCCTTTAGTTTGTTGGTAGCTCAGGGAACCGAAGCCACAGAAAAAATGAGACAGAAGCATAGGGGCAGCAGAAGAAGGCTACACACTAAGCAGATCCCACTTTCTATTCGAATTTCTTGATAAGTGCTAGATCATTTAACATCTTCTCAATCGCATCGTCATCGTTATTAGAGCGCCCCTTTGCCTGCAAAGCAACAAGTTCTCGATAAACTTAAAAGGGAGTTATGAAGAGAAGTTCTTGGATCCAAAATTCTATCTAAAAGAGTATGTGCGAACGTATGAGAGAAGTAATCTTAAAGAGAAGACTTAAACGAGAAGTTCTATGGACCGAAAGAGTGTGTGCATGAGACAGAGAACCTTGATAGACGGAACCATCGCTATCGCTTCCTCTACAGTTTCAGGGCAGAGATTGCCGAGCACACACAGCTGCACCACGCAGAAGAGAGGTTTCACATAACAATGCTTCACTTAGTAAACCGTAAATCGCAAATCAGAATACCCAGGGATAGAATCATGGATCGGCCCTCCAATGAACCTATTTGGATAGGCGATTCAGATCTGGATTTGGTTATTGGGGATCAAACAACAAAAGAAAGAAATCTTTAAAATTTAAATTCAGAGGGTATGGGATGATTAATCGAGTTCCATTGACTCGAAGCACCCACCCATTGAACCCGATCTGAATCAGCTGATTCCAATCTGGATCACTGATTTTTAAAATCCTGGTTACACACAATAGTTCACTAAGAGCGTACCTCAAATTCTGCCAACTGGTTTCTGCTCAGGACTCTGATGATATGTAGTTAAGAAATCATCTCATGTCAAAAGTAGCGCATCCAACTAAAGTAAACAGCAGCCAATACTTTCCCAAAACCATCATTCCAAGAGAACCATAGCAATTATCCTCTCTCTCTCTCTCTCTTCCCCACAGTCACCACTATTACTGAGTAGCACTTATTGCTTTGTGGACAAGCCCTCAGTATGATTTATTTTATTTTTCGATGTAGCCCTCGTATGATTTTATGACAAAAAGGATACTCTCGAACCTGCCTGACTGCATCAGGGTTTTTGTAGCGACTGAAGCGCTTCACATATTGCAGAGACTTCTCAAACACTCTAAAGAACAAGGAAAATTTAAAATTAAGAGAGAGAAAGAAAGAGCAATGGATAAGGAAAGGAAAAACCTTAATATCATGAGATTTTAACTATACAAGAAGATGCAGCAATATATAACTGAATAATGAAGCAAAACAGATAAATTAAGCGCAAACTATTCTGAATAAACTCTCATTAGCCCATGAAAGAATGAGAAGAAAGGAGTAATTATTTCCAAGCAAAGAAAGAAGTAAAACAAAAACTCACTGGGATATCTGATTCGAGGGGTCATCAGACATCTGCTGAAGTTGTTCATACTTGTGGTCCAGAATAAGGGCAACTTCACAATTCATCAAACACTTGGCCTTAAGAAACTCTGTAAATACCAGTCCAATTGTCAGAATCTATTCATAAGGAGACCCCTTAGTATATACACAACCAAGGTACATATATGCATACATATTCCAAATCCTAAACAAAACATAGTTGACAGTTGTCTCACACTCATAATATAAATTCCAATCTCAGCAAGTACTAGCATTAATGAGAGTACCACATGGGATTTCCAAGTACAAAGTCAGTTAACAGAAAAATGGGGTACAATCTTTCAGGTGGATTGATAACATTCGGGCCACAGTGATGACAACTCTTCCACTGACTGATTCATTGAATACATCATTGCTTATTATAAGATACCTTTGGAATACATTGCAAGTTGTTTTAAAAATAGTCGATCAAAAAGCAATGGTTCAGTATTAATCAGCAAGCATTTGATATACTAAGTTTAGCTTTTTAACACTCGCTGGATGTTCTGAGTCAACTCTCAATAGAATGCAACACATAATTATTAGTCAACTGAGAGAAGTACACTATACACCATTACCAGAAGTCTGTCAAGTATTGAGGCTTTCCAGTGTTATTAGTGTTGGGTTAATGGTTGCATAGTTCGTTTGCTCTTTTGAAGATATCCCTTTCTATTTTATGCTTGTACCTTTTAAGCCAGTCTAATGTGGGAACTTCTTGCACGCATTCCACGCTCTAAAGATATTGCTTCAAAATCTTACAAAGAGTATATTTATTTTTCTTCCAAGATGTACTTCCATTTTCCTTTTTCTAGACAAGGCATTGATCAGCCCATGAAACTAGCTCAGGCCCAAATCTGAGAATCTACAAGCCAACGCTGCCAACCCCATAGAAGATAATACTCACTCACAACTAAGGGACCTAGTTCTCTTAGTTATCTAGAGTTATTTTCGACATCTCGGGCTATTTAAATGAGTTTTACATATGCTGCCTGGGCTGTCTTTTCAAGAAGGGGTCATGAATAGGATAACAAGGGGTAGCACTAGGTGCTAGACATGCAGGCTATCTGGTCAGATTGCTCTTAAGTTTCATTTTCCTTGAATCTGTACAATTTTCTCAGTTAATTATCAAAGAAAAAATGTATATTTTCTATTATTTTGTAAACTTAGTGGTTCTTTTAGGTTTTAGGCAACCCTTTAGCCTAGATAAAACTCAGGACACTAGACCTGCTTTCCTAACATGGTGTTAGCATTCTCTGGACCAACATCTCTCAGATCACGGCCACTCGGTTGATAAAAGAAAAAGAACAATCTAGGCCATTCAAAAGTGTGTCGGCTTCTGAAATGCATCAGATATCACAACCCGGGTTCTGAACTCATCAAATATCATAAACCTATAGCACCAAGGATAATTTCCCCAAAACCAAGCAATCCCTGAAATGCCCCATATTGCCTACAGTCTTGGAGATGTTGCTTGATTTTCTCCAATTTCATTTTCATTGGATCACCTATTGGTCTTAAAAAGTCATCTATTTCCACTCCGGCACAGATAAACAACAAGAAAGGACGAGTACTATTCAGCAGCATATCAATCAACGATAAAAGAGACTTCGACTACAGAAGGCACCCAACAAATCACTCTAAAGAGGTCAAGAACTATGATCAATTGCTCCAGACAAAACACAACTGTTCTAGAAATAGTCAACGATTCCTTTACTCCTAGTGCATGAAGAATAGGTCATGACGATGAAGTCCTCGGTGCTGAAGCTGGTTGGCACTTGCCAGCAAGGATCAAGCATCACCAATCACCGAAAAAGACCGCTTCTAGATGAGCAAGCATACCATAAAGGAGGCAAGCAAGACATGACCCTTTCCCACTAGAGTAAAGTGAATAAAGAGTCGACTAATGATAAGTACCCAATATTGTTCAAGAACAACCGGCATTCTCAATAACATTACTCAAGAAAATCAACGAATTAAATCATCATAAAAGCCAACACAAGGAGGCAACTCTCCCGATCCCGAAGATCCAGGGCACCACAATACCATCCTTCTACCTCTTAAGACAGTTTTCTTAGAATAAATTTCTATCATATGCAATGGTTACAAGAATTAAGAGGAAAGACTGCAATGAACTCTTCACATGCAAGATCTTATACCAAAACTCAACCATACCGTCATGTCCCACCTTAAGCTAATCCTTGGATATCAACTTGATCACCACTTCGCAAATACCACCTGACACCATAGATATTCCGGAGGACACACCTAAAACTCCAATGCATACTCTAGTACATCTTCAATAGGAATTGTACAACATATTAGGAATCACACTATATATTCCATTCCAATGCAAAGCTCCTAAAAATAGGAGCTTTACATACTTCTTCAAAACCATCTGTTCTTCAGATCACAGCCATCACAATCCAAAGAATGACGCACTAAATGCCTTTGACATAGATATACTGAGTTCTAAATCACAACAATGCCTCACCAAAGAAGAGGAACCTAACTAAGAAATTGGATGTTATAACCTGACCAATTTTTTTCATCAGCTTTCAGCAACCAATCAATCAACCCGATTATAAACTTGCAACGGAGATACAAGCCATGTGATACCCTAAAGAATGCATTTTGCACTCGAAAGAAGTTTCAGATTTAAAAGAGTGTTCTAGGACAACCACATGGCATGAAGACTAATCAGTTGGAGAGGAACCAAATAGACAATAATACCAGGACAATAAATACACAAACATATAATGAAAACAAAAATAAAAAAAGAGCTAAAGTTAAACAACATGAAATACTAGGAAGAGGAAGATTCTTAACAAAAATGAGAGAAAATATGGAGGTAAAAAAAAAGTAAAACAAACCTTCTCCAATCTTGAGCTCTGCGGCATTTTCTTCCTCTTCTCCAGACATCTTATACCCTTGTCAGTTCTGAACAAATATACAGAGACATTTCTCAAAAAAAGGCACCAAAACGTATCCAAATTAAAGTGATACAGAGAACGCAAAGAGAAAAATGGACTGAAACCTAGCCCTGGCCGGGCCCCAAGAATAAATTTGATGCCCAGGCCGGCACTAAGCGTAATTTCGAGGCCTGGCCCGTTGCCATTGGTTTAGGTGAAGCCGGCCGGCCCTATTAAGTATCCCAAAGATGAAACAACTACACTTTTTAACAAAATAAAGTTCAAAAAAAAAGATAAAAAAATTACAGAACCATCAAACCTCCTCTTTATTTCTAACACATAAATCCATATAATTCCACTTTCTTTCAGGAAAAAAAAGAAGATTTAATTCCGGTCACTTCACAAAGAAAATAGCACAAATATACGATTTTCAGTACAACTACTTTCTCAGGAAATAGGGGGAAAAAGAGAACTCTATGTCCCACAGGAAATAGGGGAAAAAAAAAAAAAAACTCTTATGTACCAGAACGTTCGATACCTAGGACCTAAGAATGAGAATCTGAGAGAGAGAGCTTCGGGGACGATTTGGGGTATAGCGTTTTAGACAGCGAGAGAGTTTTGGGAAGAATGAAGATTTGATTGAGAAAAAGAGAGAGAGCGTGACTATTGGGGGAGGATTTGAGATTAGGGTGTTCATTTATAGAGAGAGAGGGGATTAGGGTGATTATTTGGGGGCACTTTGATAGAGAGGAAAGAGCGGGTGAGGGAGAAGATTAATTAATTATAACCATCAGAAATGAACTCTGGCAGCTTAATTTCTTTTCAGCTTGTAGGTGGGTCAATGGAATAAATGCATTTGAGAAATTTTCTTTTCAGCTTTGACTTGGGTTCATGAAATTCATCCAATTTTACATCCGATTAATAGTCACCCTGAACCAAAAATAAATAATCTTATTATATACTATTTTTTATACCTTATACTCTTACGGAGAGAAAGGATCACGAGGTTTGGAGAGAAGATTTGGTAAGTGGGGTACTGAAATTGAAGGTATGATTAAGCTAGACTCTCGTACTATATTCCCACATGAGCATACATGTGATTTGCTCCCTTGAGCCAAATAGCTAACCCAATGACTTTTCTTATTTAAAAAATTTAGGAAAATGATATACATACTCGGCACGATTTGGGTATTTGGAAATATATTGTTTGAGAAGCACATTAGTGGCCCAATGTATGATTTGGAAATGGTTTTTTGTTATTTGGGTAGTATCTGGATTCAACTAGGGATATACATTGTTAATGATTTGCTATGTCTGGAAGGAATTAGGGAAACGCATTATCAGTCAGTTTGGCTAAAAAATACTGCATTAATTTTATCTATAGTAATGTGATTCTTTTTGTACGATTCTCTTTTTTTTTTTTCCTTTTTAAGATAAAATATCAATCAAAACTAATTTGTGTTCAAATATGCGTGTGAAATTTGAGTGAACTTCCCCCTCCCCTTTCTCTATTATCCCTCTTCTCTCTACAATCATTTCGTTTCGTTAATAAGTGAATGGTGTCCATGTCACTATTTTCCAAAGAGAGAACACCACTTACTAATATGTGAATAATATTATAATAAAACGATTCAAAAATTATTAGAAAACAATTCAATATCATACGATTAAAAACAAAAATAAAACCTTTCATGAATTTCAATGTTTTGACATTAAAAAATTTCAAAAAATTTTAAAAATAAAGATATCAAAATTCAAAAAAATAAAAAATAAATAACAAAATTTGTTACTTGTAAATTTTATTTTACCGAATCATAACAACCTTTTGGTTAGTTTTATTGACCTTACTTTAAGTATAAGGTTTCCTTCAGGTTTACAACGTATACAAAAATCTTGCCACTTGTAAAATACTATTTGTTTATAGTTTTTACCGTTTATTACTACCTCATTTTGCATTGTGGTTAAAGTTATAGAAAAGAGAACGGCGTTGAGGTTATAGCTCGAAAGAAAGGGACAAAGAAAAATAATCCGACATCGTAAAATTTTTAGAAGCCAAAGCGATTAGAAAAAGGAGATAACCGGAATAACCTCCCACGCATGAGGGAGGGATTGTGTTGTCTTGAATCGCTTGAATACGTTATGAAGTACATTGTCAGCCCGCAACATAATGTTTTTTTTTAAATAAAAATTTAAAATATTTAAAACGGTGGGAACTTTTTTAAAAAAAAAAAATTTTAAATATTTAATACGGTGGGAACTTTTAAAAAAAAATATATAAAAAATCATGGGAACTGCTAGTTGACACTCACAAAATGAATACAAATTTTTCCAATTCGGCTGGCTCAACCGAATTGAATTTCGATATATTATGAGATCTAGATCGCCATCAACTATTTCCGTTCCAAATCAACAATTTAACAAGTAGGACACGCCCATAACTAACCCCTTGTGTGATCCATGGGGCGAATATGTAGAGAGCAATGTTAGGAAGAGGTAGTAGAGGCCTACACACCTTCATTTTCCTCAATGTAAGCCAACTTCTTCCCAAACCTCGTGTAGAGAAAACCTTTGACACCCAAACTTACAACCAAGCATCTTAAAACTCCTATTCACACATAATTCAATTGAAGGGGTACTTTTAACCAGTATTTTTTATGCAGATCTAGAGATGGATGGATTCTATTTTTTTATTTTTTTGGTACTTCTAGCAAGTATTAGTTGAGTTGGTATTTTCTTTTTTTTTAATTTCTTTTCGTATCTTTTGGATAAGTACATGGTATAAAGACCACCTATAAGGATTAATGTTGAAGTGGTGGAGCTCTTTTTTTTTTTTGGGGAGCTTTAATAAACAAGTGATAAGTATATAAAAAGAAAGCGGGAACAATATATTAGGGGATGGATTTTGGTTGAATGGAAAGATAATAGTTTGACGACGTAGAGAATGAAAGGGACTTGTGTTCTTGTTAACTATTAATGGTATGTGGGGAGGTCTCGACTCCAACGCTTATGCTTTCTTCCGGTTGATTTTTTCTTAATTTTTTTTGTTTCTTTTTAAAATGTAGTTGTAATTACCGGTCGTTTTGCCGGTAAATTTTCAGCTGAGTGAAGAAAAATAAAGTAAACAACTCAAAGTAGATCGGTCTGGGTTCTGACTCCCGTTAATGAGCTAGTGGACCTGATGTTGCTTAAGAAATTCTTATTTTGTTTACTTTCCACTTTAGAGAGAAAAATTGTATTTAGTTTTAAGTTTTAGAGAGAGAAACTATTTAAAAAATTTGACAAAGAGAAGCTAAGGCCAAACATGGACCAAAGTTGACCTGGCCCTGCAGGGGCAGAAGGCCGTTAGGGCTAGAACATGCCCAGCCCGCTTTGATTTAAACTAGACTAACAAAAAGTACTTTTCCATATTCGAATAGGTCTGGTGGGTGGCCCGATCCGACCCGATCTAGATAAATATGAATGTAAAACGGAGACATTAACTGAGCAAGGGTTTATCTACTGATGGGCTCGTTTGCTTTACTGTTTGCGTGAATCCACCTACAAATGGAGTGATGAGAGGCTCTGGGCAGAAAGAGAGAGAGTGAGAGCAAACGCACTTTCAAAACTAGAGAGAGAGAGAGAGAGAGAGTAGACATACATTTTCTTACTCCTGAAACCCCACATGGCTTTCTCCACCCTCTCTTGTCCCCTCTCTCCTCATCTCCACAACCCCCAATTCTCTTCCAAGCCCTCTGCAAAAACCCCAAGTTTCAACCAACTAGAGTCACACCTCAAGCCCTCCAAAACCCTAATCTCTTCGTATTCTTCGATTTCGAAACCCTATACGACCAGACCAATTATTTCCCCATCCAAAGGCCTAATTTCTATTTCCTCACTTCACTGCACCTCTTCTGAAACTGTATCACATGAATCAACAGAAGAAGTAGAAGATGAAGGCTCGCCATGGGAAGGAGCAGTTGTGTACAAGAGAGACTCCTCTGTTACTCATCTGGAGTACTGTACTACTCTTGAAAGGCTAGGGCTCGGAAAACTCTCGAGCGACGTTTCGAATTCTAGGGCATCGTCCATGGGAATTAGGGTTACGAAAGGGGTTACTGAGTACTCTTCCGGTACCCCTGTTCAAATCTCCATTGATGTTTATAGGAGGAAGCAGGATATCAAGCTTGATGGCATTCTCAAGACCGTGATTACTCTGGCTTGTAACAGGTCCGAACGCCATTTTGCTCATTTTAAAGCTCCAAAAAAATCAGTTTAGCAAGTTTGAAATTCACTTTTTTGGTTTCAATTTCATGATTGTATTGCTCGGGATTATGAATGTTTCCATTTTCATTCCCAAACACACTAAAATAGGTGCGGTGCGTCGGCTCATGCACCAAGACCCACTCTTTAACAAAATGGATTTAGCATTTTCTGATTATGTAAAATTAATCCCATATCTCCATTTCAGGTGTGCTGAACCTGCTGCTGAATGTGTGTTCTCGGACTTCACTCTTCTATTGACAGATGAGCCCATCAATGAAGAGAATGATGAGATGAATTTTGGTGTGTTATATGGTGACGATAAATGGAGAAGCTACAAAAATGTTGGTGTAGGTGAAGAGGAAGCGAGAGAGGAGGTCATAGACTTGGACGATAGGCTATATTTTCCACTTGAAGAGAGAGAAATAGACATCTCAAAACACATAAGAGATGCAGTGCATGTTGAGATCACAATAGATGCCATTTGTGATGCTAATTGTAGGGGTTTGTGCCTTGAATGTGGGGTGAATTTGAACAAGAGCAGATGTGGTTGTGGCCGTAAGAAGAATGAGAAGAGAGAGAGGGAAAGTAGTCCTCTTAGTGGTCTCAAACACCAAACTTATAAGCAATAAATTCGTATAAAGTTGATCGTTTATTTAATTGTGCTGTATCCATATTGAGCTGTAATCACTCTTTAGTTATTTTTATGTGTTTCTCTCTCACACACATACACAAAGATGATGTTCACGCATTGGGGGGGCCTGTTACCTGAAATTTTTTGAAGTATTTTCATACATCCGTTGATCAAATTTAAAGAGAGAAGATGGTCGATTCGCTTGGGTGATCAATCTCAAAGAGAATTAATGGTCTTTGAGCTCCTGAAAACCTAGATATAGTTATCCACCAAATGGATGATTTAAATGTCAAATCTTGGATCAAGTATCGGTTTGGAGTACGGTTCGAGCTTGAGTCCCATTTTTTTTTATTATAGATTGATCTTGGAGAGAATGAGGAAGGATTTCAGTGTTATCAGTTATTAAAGACATTGGTGAATCTCAAAAGGTTTAATAACAGAATATAGTGACTTGGCGAGACTCGATCAATTTGCATGCTCTTGGTTCTAGACTCTTTAACACTCTGTAACTTGGGCAAGTATGAGTCCGGTTGCCAAGTACGAGTAATCTGTGCGAGTTCGAGCGGACTCGCCTTGCAGTGTATGGAATTGTTCTACTTTCTAGTAAATTGTATCGACCATTTGAGAAGCTTTTCTCTACAACAGCAGTACAACTCACTCTTAATCTCTCCTCAATACTACAAGCACCTGAACCAGCGATGTACTAGGATTTTCATAAATCATTTGTTAAAAAGAACACAGATCGTATTATACACTCTTAATCAAAGGTTAAGCCAAGGCATTATTCTGTTAAAACAGCTCATTATAGTGTTTTCTAAAACCAAGTAGAGAGGTTTCTAAATACCAGCAACATTACTGTACAGTTAGATGTGGATATTGCGACATCGTTTATTTCGTACCTAATGAGAATGGAGCTCTAGATTTTACATCGGATAGCTTTTCATAGTTTTTCTGCTATCGAGCGATTTTATATTAATTGGCTCTTTGGCCTGCCAAAAACTTATTGAATTCAATAAACCCCGTCTTTTCCTAAGACTACATGGACCATGGTACCATAAGCTCAATGACAGCTTCACCTCTCTCTAGGCCTGGAGATTTTTAGCAGAGGGATATTGCATGTCCCCATGTCCAGATTCAAAATAAAGCGGCTGCAAGTTTGTTTTTTTATTTGATACTTATGACAGGCTGCGAGTTTTGGACCATCTTGATGATCTACAGAGAAAAACTTCCATACTCCAATGTTGTAATATACACAGAGAGAGAGGAGGCCTTAAACAAATGGGGCAATTAAACTCCACCTCAAATTTCTGATCCACTACTTGTTTACATAAATTTAAATTTCCCAAAGGCCATTAAAACAAACTAATACAATAACAATACAACTCAAGAGTTTTAAACTCTTCCAACATCAGTTCTTGGTGAGCCTAAAATTCAGCAGCCAAAAAAAAAAGGTCTTCCGTTAAATACAGAAGCCAACATCAGGGATGTTCTTTAGAGCAAGCAAACATTTGCATATCAGTAAATTAAATTAAATAGCTTTGAAGTCTCTCGATATAAATTTAAGAGAACATGACCCCGAGCCTTCTGGCAAAGTCATCTCCATCTTCATCATCCAAGTAATCATCATCTTGGTCTGCATTATCATCTGCATTTTCTTCTCCCATTTTCCAGTCTCTCCCTTCTAATGCCCCATAATCGGATTCCCCTTCTCTCTGATCATAAGCTTCACCTTCTGGGTCTTCCTCAGCATCAATCATCTCCACATCATCTCTTCTTTGTGGTGATGAGAGCCCATCACTGATTAAACGTATTTCTGATTCTACAGTTTCTGCAGTTCGTCCAGGGATTGTGGCTTTGAGTTCTTCTCTACAACCGTTCGGAGAAGTGTTTTCCTCTTTCTCTGATTCTGGTGACTGGTTCTCATAAACATGAGTGCCTTCTCCCTCTACCTGAGTTCCCTCTTTCTCTGCTAGAGTTCTCTCTTCTATGTCAACCTCTGTTGCTTCATCAGGTTTTCTTGGAAGCACAGGATTCCCTGAACCCATTTCCCTCTTTTCCTTCAAAATCATGCTCAAAGGCTTCGGGCCATCAAAAGGTAGAGAACCAACAGATTCTTGAGACAAACCCTTCCCTAACTTTGCACTCTCTTCTCCTACAACAACCTCACTCTTAACCCTATCTGAAACTTTCCCACTTTTGAGCTCTGCAAGGCTCTTTGGTCCAGCAAAATTAAAAGAATGGCTACTGGTTTCATTACCTTTGACCACCGAATCTTTCCCCTCCATAGTATTAACCTCAGGAAGCCTCCTTTTCAATCTCTCATGATTTCTTCCAATAAAACCACTAGGGTTGCTTTGTGGCCCTCTTGCCCTGATATCCAAACTCGTTTCCTGATGAAATTCTGGCGAAGACTTTCTAGGTAGCTTGAGCCTACCTTGGAGCCGCCGGCTCACTGTGGTTTCACTTGAGATATGGGGCTGGTCCCTATGAGGGAGTGGTCGAGGGAACTTTTGCTCTTCAAGCAAGCCTTCTTCCCTTTGATGCATCTCACCGTGCCCTCTCGAAGGGCTAACCACTGATCTTGACCCATTAACTTTTCTTCGCTTTGAAATTTGCTGGCGCAAATCGAATGTGTCCACTCTATCAGGGCTCTCCTCTCTTACTATCCTCCTCTCTGACACAACGGAAGGCCTCCTCTCTATGTTTTTCTCAATAGAGGCCCCACTTTGCTCCCTTCCCAACCAATCCCTCGCCCTCCCATGTGAATCGTATGCATTGATATGGCCCCGTGTTTCTCTATCTAGTGGGGTTCGAGCTTCTCTGTCTGGATTAGCATTCCAATCAACATGCGAGGACTGAGGGTAACTGAATGCATGCAGAGAACTTATGCGCCTTCCTCGTCCCAAATCCTTATAATCTGATTCTTCACGTTGCTCATCAACAAGAACATCAAAACCAGGAGAAGTTTCGCTAAAGAACTCACCTGGTTCCCTGCCATTATAATCCAATCCACGAGAATGGTGCACTTGAAGTCGGTTAATGAGGTTCCCACAGCTCATTGGAGCAATAGTTGCCTTTGATCTTCCAAATTCATCAATGTGCACCATAGCTTTCCTCACTGTAACACCAGTTTGGGGGGAAGATTCAACATCCATGGCAGGTTTCGAAACGGGAGGAATCCCTCCAGGTGTGCTGTTTTGTGAGGTATTTTTAGGTGGAGAGGGCTTTGCAAAATTAGGAGGAGAAAGCTTCACCAAATTAGGTGAAGGCTTTGTAAACTTGGGTGGAGAGTTTTTTGACGGAAAGTTAGGTGAATTTCTCTGATGAATGTTGGGTATCTCAGGTCCATTAGCATTTGAGGGTGCCTTAAGAGGCTGAGGAAGATCTGTTACAGTAGAGCCAGCTTTAACAGAAGGCGGTGTAGCTTGGCTGCCTGAAGACGAAGGGTTTATGTGCAAGAAAGGGCATTTATCACCCTTTAAGCAAAGCCTTTTTCGGAAGAAGATGCAAGGGGTAATTTGCTTGGTGGAAGCAGCAGCAGCAGGGAGAGGAGTTTGGGTTGGCACTGAAGGAGGTAAAGCAAGTGCTGATGAGTTTGCTGTTGGCATTCCTGTAGTTCCCAAAAGGCCATCAAGAGGCTACAAAAGAAGAAGATAAAAAGTCAGCAAATGTATCTATCAAAAAGATTTGACCATTACTCTTGCCTTCTCACACGCAAACATATGATATCAGAAAATATATTATAAAGATATCGTGCTTGGTCACATACAAACACAGATGCACACACATGCGTGCAGAGAGAGAGAGAGAGTCCCTTAGTAATACAAGAGAGAGAGAGAGAGATCTATGAGTACACAAATCTTCCCTTAGTAATACACATCTACACATCCCATAAAACACACAAATCAAAATAGTGGCTATAAAGGGAACGAAGAAAGGAAAGAAGACTCACCGGATGCCTGAACGCACATTTCGGATTCAAGCAGTTACCATTCAGCCAGAACCAGCAATCTCTGGGGTTCACCCTAGCACTTTCACTATGGCGAAATTCACATTCACTTCCCTGGAAAGGAAAAATTAAACATTAGATTTATCCACCATGAACATCAAGTAAATGGCAAACAAGTAACAAAACATGGTTGATCAGACAATATCAAATACAATTAAGGATTTTGTCCATGCAACATAGAACAGAATCAACACAGGGAACTTTTCTTCCATGATATTCACAGCATGAATGTTTGCCCAATAGTAATAAGATTTTCTATTCTACATGATAGAAAAAACTAACAAGGATGATAGCACCAAGATTTTACATTCTAAAAAAAATAAGAACGAGCTAAGTCAGGTAAAATCTCTAGATAGAAGACCAGAACTGAGCCACACTAAGAAAAGAGCCAGGAAGACAAATATGTAATGTAGTACCGTACACATTTATGAGGAAGGCAGCCAGTTATAGGACTGCTGCAAGAAAAAGATTTTGAGTGTTCCTTTAGGGTCATTATCATGCATTTAGTTAAGATGCTTTATGTCCAATAAAATAAAACAAAACTTGGAATTTCCAAGTCGGAACAAACTGCATCACAGGCAAAATGACCATCTCAAGAGAAAACACTGCAATGGAACCCTCAAAAAAATGAACTAAATTTCTCAATGAGAATCATTTCTAATTTATTCCAAGGACACATGCTATATGAGAAATTGTATGGAAAGAGACAATTCAAGCATTTGTCACCACAAACCTAATCACATCACAGATACGTAATTAAGTTTGCAGCGAATTTAAGCCTTCTTTTTCTGTTTAAATGATATGCAAAGGCTGCCATCAAAGGGAATCCAAGCATTTGTCAGCAGAAACTCAATCACAGAGACACTATGAAGTTTGCAACTAAGTGAAGCCTTCTATTTCTGCTTTCATGATGTGTAAAGCCTGCAAGTGCTCTCAAAAAGGAACTCAAATCTAATACCACATATAACATATTCCATGTGATTACTTGAACCAATCTGCATAGGGCTTGAATAACTTAATCAATACAACACTTGGTCCATTTAGATACTTCATAAAGATGGATTGTTTTCAACACCCCAAATTGAGATTGCCCAATGTGATATTGAAAAGATTGAATGTGATATTGATAAGATTGCCCTACAATGTTATCAGGACCAGACGGGTCACTGAAACAAGGAGGGCACAAGTCCACCCCAAGCCAGTGGGACCAGCCTGACAAGACAAAAAATAATAATAATAATTTATGAAAAATAAAAATATATATAAGATAAAAGCAAAAATATAGAAAAAGGTCAAATCCACCAAGGTCCTGCAAATTTTGACCAGTTTATTTATCACAAATGGATTGGCTCCAAACCCAGTTACTGATCCAATGTGTCAAATCTGCCAGTCCAGTATGGTCTTACTAACACTGATTTGCACTATGTAAATAGCTATCGAGATTCAAAAATGTCCAACGTAGAATAAAGAAATTTATGGATCAATTTAAGACCTGAGCTCAAATAATGACCAAAAATCCATCACATTGCAAAAATAAATTTCATTATAGTATAATAAAAAACACAGGGAATTATTCTATTTGAGATGAGCACAATGAGTTATTGTCTTCTACTATGCTTCACGCCTGAATTCTGGCTCAAGTGAATTCTCTTGTTTTCTTTCTATTGACCTCTGGCTTAATGGCCGACCCCAAATAGTTGGGATAAAGCTCTGATGATGATGATGATTGATCTCTGGCTTAAGCAAATTCTCCAGTTACATTAGGTTCTCCATTATTTTTTTCACTAGGTCTCCTTCAATTGAACTCTAGCATAGATGTCTACTCAAATAACTTTGCATTCTCGAGTTATTAGTTTCCCTTTGCATTCTCTAGCATGGTCTGTGCTAGTGTGCATTTGTGTGCGTGTGCATGTGCATGTGCATGTCTGTGTTTAAGCGCGTGCACACCATTTTCTTTTAAATCTGGCTCAGGTGAGGACTTATCCAGTTCTGTCGGGTTCTAACTGCATTTTTTAATATTAAATTAACAAAATAACACTTTATCAATGACTTTTCGGCCATGTCTACTCTGGTTCCATGGGGCAGTACATGTAAATTTGTTGAAAATCTTCAGTAAGGACCATTACATTCCCCCAATTGATAGTGAAGGTGACATAATATCTTGGAAGGTTCAAACTTAGGTACATTTCTGAGTCAACTGACATGGACCTGCCATGTTTTCTATAAGTTAACATGTAAAATAGGCAGGGTAGGTAGACCCAAGTGATTCACTGGGTCAACCCAACCCCAGACCAGCGTTAGACCCACAACAAGAACTCAGCAGGTTGGGCCCAGGTAGGACGGTCAAGACCAGCCCACGAACCCCCAGTCGGGGTTGACCTTGACCCTCATACAGCCTTAAGGAAGTGACACAAGTATATAACACTCCAAAGGAAATTTGAATAGGATCCATTTAGTTTAATGCTGCCCAGAATCAATGACAGGCAGTTGAACTACAGTTCAGAATATTTCACAATAAAAAAACATTAATAGAAAGGGATTGTATACAATGAGACCATTTACCATTGGTACACGGAGGTCACAATTATTTATGGCCATCAGATATGAAATATGATAGCTTAGGTGTGTCACAAAGTTCGTGAAAATTTCTTTTGAACTTTGAGCTTGGTCAATGGAATAAATGCAGCCACCCAAATTTCACATCCAATGGTCAAGATTAATTGTGACCACCTCGTACCAAAGGTAAATCGTCTCACTGTATATTTTTCCTAATAGAAATACTGGAAAAGCAGACATTTAATCACCTTTTTTTGGAAAAAAAACAAAAAATTCACTTGCCTTTGCTTCGATCAAATCAAGCAGGCACTTACAACTCCAAGGTCCAGGATTTCAAAAGTACAAAGAGCAACAAGCTCTCAAGAATCAAAGTTCCGAAACCCCCGCAAGAAAGAAAAACCCTCCAACTCCTCTAACACTAAGCTCAACAAGTTCTCAATATTCCATGTTCTATGACCTCCTAGAGAAAGAAAAATCCTCCAATTCCTTTAACATTAATATTTAAAGAAACTCCTAAAACACTAATGCTCTATGAATCTAGACCACAAATCCAATCTAATCTCAACAAATCGATATCAGATCATAACTTTGCAGCTCAGTATGAATATATAATTCGCGAGTTACTACAAATAGTAAGTCATGATTGATTCAACCAATTCCTAGCATTTCTTAGAACTTTAGGAACCAAAATTTGGAAACTTTTTATCTGGGGTCTATTGCTTCACTAGACCCTAGATGACGCATTTAACACCTCTTAGGATATGGCTTATGTATTTGAGAGCATCGATTCTTGGGAGGCAATCATAGATAGCATCACCAAGAATGATTGGCTCATTTCACTGCATGACACCAAAAGATGCTTTTCTATGAAATCTTTAACCCAGGGACTCCTCTCAATTCATCTTCCAGAGTCCCTAGGTCACCTAGCCGGCGCAACAGCCCCATGCATCATCTGCTTTTGTTGGTTGCTTCTCTTGACAAGGCACCCACTAGAGGCCATCTCTTTTTGGGGGTGTAGAATTTGTACTTGATACAAAGTATTGCAAATCGTCATTCAACACTTAATCAACCATGCCCAAACCTGAATTTTAAGGGGATCCCAATGCTCTAACATTAGCACTCTGTGCACAAAATCAGAAGAAACAATGAATCATCTATTCTATGGTCATGCATTTTCCCCTTACAGTGTGTACATGGACATCCTTCTCACAGTCATAAAGAGAAGGCCACTTCATCTAGGCTCACTTTTTTCTCCTTGTGAGCAGAACTTCCCTCTTTGATGAAAAGCTCTTGTTTCTTGATATCTACACCCATGAACATGAGGACATTGTAGGCAGCCAGTGTCTTGAATATCCCCACCCGTATTGTGGTGGGTACACCTACAAACATAGTAGAGCTAGCTGGGAAATACCAATTCCCTGTTAAAAACCAAGAATATCAAATTCTCTCACTTCTCTATGTGGGTGACTAAAACTCTCTAAGTGGGTGGTAGAAACAATCTCTCTCCCCATACGTGGGTAGCAAAAGAATCTCTCTCTATATGTGGTTGGTAGAAAACCTCTTTTGTTAAGAATCAAGAGAAAATATTCATTGAAGTCCTACAAGAGAAAATATGCCTGAAATATTGTTAAGAATCAACACAAGTGCCTTAAAAAAACTCAGCTTCAGCTTCACTACTTCTCCTCATGATTTTCATATACTCCCCCAGTTTTCTCCTCACTAGGACTGCCAACAGGCTGGGCTCGGGGGCAGCTAGCAGCGCATACCTGACCCAAATCTTTTTGTAGGTGCCCACGACTGACCCAGGCCTGAGAATATACCACAAATTAGGTTGTGGTCTGGGCAAAATTATATCGTTGGGGTTCAAGCCTGGCCCACCCTGAAAATTAGATTGGTCCAGGCTCATGCATATTCTGTATGATTTGACTTGATGCATGATATATGCAAGTGTCATCATCATCACCATGACAGCATTAGAGCCTTATCCCAAATATTTGGGGTCAGCTACACGAATCTTATTTCGCCATTCTACTTTATAAAGGGCCATATCCTTAGTGAGATAATATATAGGTGTATATATCATATAAGGGTATGGTTTGTATAAGGCCGGGGCCCTAAATAATCAAAGTAGGGTGCACCTTCAAATAGTGCCAAAATATGTTTTTCAGTATCAAAAAATCTTCATGATGACCTGCAAATTATTTTCATCTCTAATTATAAAATTTAAAGTTAAAAATCTGTGTAGATCGAGCAGATCTATAAACACTTGAAAATCTTGAAAATTAACAGTTTAGATAATGCATTACAAGATGCACTATTTCCAACACTTGAAATCTATTTTTCTCATATCTTGAAATCTATTTTTCTCATATCCATACACCTTTTTTTTTTTTATGAAGATTCTCATATCCATACATCTTGAGGTCGATATGATCCAATTGATGGTTTTCTAGCATCTAAACAACCTTTTCTAATGAATTTTGTAGGTACACCTTAATTTGATTGTTTAGAGCCTCACCCTTATATAATTTTTTTTCCATTATATAATTATGTTATATATATCACATAAGACCTGACCTGAATTGTTCAGAACCCCCACACCTAGCCCCCACCCACCCCATGGGCCTTATAGTGTAGCCAGAACCCAGCCTGAAGCCAGGTCCACCCAAGTGGCAGCCCCACTCCTTACAAATTTTGTTTCTCATCTGTTAGAAGCTTGCTCATCCTCCTTGCATATTTCCTCCAATTCCCCTTTTCCCATATGTCCATTACTTGTTCTTCCTCCTCAGCTATTTCTCCACTATTTTCTCTTCCTTTCCTCCACACGCCTGCTTCTACTTCCTCCTTAGTTTCTTTTTACTCCACACAACAGTTCTCCAGCAATGTATTTTCAGCAATAAATTGCAGCTTTCATCGTAAACAAAAATATATCTCAAGAAGTTAAGTAGTTTTCCATTAACCCATAAACAACAAATCAGTTTAGCAGTGATGAAAAGCAGTTAAGGAAGAGAACCTTGTATTAAAAAGCAGAGAGAAGCTTCAAAACACCAAAAACGATTTTCATGGGCACAGAAAGCTGTTGCAGAGCATTAACACAAATTCCAGCAGCAAAAACCGCTTTTGCAGTGATGCAAAAGTGGTTTCATGCAAAAACAAGGTATTCCAAACATAGAAACCAAAGAGTCAAGGCGGTTTCTCAACCAGAAGAGCCGTTCTGCAATACTTAAAAGTGGTTAAAGGGAAGAGTATATAGGAATAAAGAGAAGCTTCAAGGAATCAAAAAGCAATTTTCATGGGCAAGAACAGCTGTTTCAAAAACACTAACACAAAGCCTAGCAGCAAAACCTGCTTTTCCAGTAATTAAACGAGGTTTTCACATTCGAAAAAAGGCATTCCAAATGTAAAAGACTGAAGAGTCAAGGAGGTTTTACAAGCACAAGAGTTGGTTTTTCAGGTAACATTGTGATAGCAAAAGCGATTTTCTGATAGAAAAATGTGGTTTGACATTGCAAAAGGCTATTTCCCAAAACTTCAAACGGATGAGACAGGAAAAGGCAGTTTAATGATGGGAAAAAAGAGGTTTTCATTACGATAAGGGTAGCACAGTTTCACGAGAAAACCCATTTTTTGCTTAATAAAGGCGTCATAAGCTAGTAAAAAAGCAATATCGGTTCTGAAGCTACAGAAAGGCGGTTTGGTTTTACATCAGAAAAGACAGTCTCAAGGGTGGACAAAGCAATTTTGAGATTGAAATAGGGGTTTAAGGCCAAAAAAAAACAGTTCTGGGTAAGCATACAGGCATATAAAAGCTAGTAGAGAAGGGGAAGTCAAGGTAAATCACTAAAGACCCATCACATTTTACATTAGAAAACATGGATAAACTCGCCCAAATCAAATAAAGAGAATTTGAAACTCCAAGGTCAGGCTGGGGTTTCAAAAAAAAAACACACGAAGAACAACAAGCTCTCAAGTTTTAAAGGTTTCAAAACTTTCTAGAGAAAGAAAAACCCTTCAACTCCTTCAAACATAAATATTCCAGAACTCCAAAAACATTAATTTTCCCGTGACAGCTAGACTGCCCATATAGCCTAATCTTAACTAATTAATAGTGCCAAAATCAATCAATATGCACTTCACTTATAATATAAATTCACGATTAACTAAAAATTGCAAATCTAGACATGTTAAGAATAGTAAGTCCATGATTTTGACTCAACCAGTTCCTCACAGATTCTTAGCTTTACTTTGAACTTCAGGAAACCCAATTTGGAATATTCTGACATGTGATTATGAAATTGTGACCGTGTGGGACATATTCAATGCCTCTAAGGGTGTGGCATATGTGAGATGGCATAGATTCTTGGGAGCTAATCATATATAGTATCACAAAAGATGATTGGCTCATTTTGTTGCACGGCGCCAGAAGATGCTTTTCAATTAGATCTTTCACTTGGGGACTCCTCTCAACTTGATCTTCCAGCATCCTTAGGTTGCCTAGTCTGAGTCATTCCAACACCCACACACATCATCTGCTTCAGTTGGATGCCGTTCTTGATAAGGCACTCACTAGAGCCAATCTCTTCTCCGTGGCATTTCAGCAGTAGGATTAGAACAGTAGATCTTGATATTGTAGTGTTGGACTCATCATCCATTAGCACCTTAAATCAAACATATGCCTGAATCATAAGGAAATTCCAGTGCCCTACCTGCGGCACTCTATGCCCAAATAAAAAGAAACAATAGATGATCTATTATCTGATCACGCATTTTTCCCTGTGCAGGGTGCATATATAAAGCCTCCTCAGAGTCATTCAGAGTTGGATGGCCACATTCAAGAGCACGGCTCTTAGGCTATTGAAATTCAGTCTTCCACCCAAACAGCAAAGCAATTGTGGATGTTACACCCATTCAGTCTTTTGGTACTTTCACAAGTAGTCTACTTGTGCATTTAGAAAGAGAGGAACAACGTAGTCTTCAAAGGGAAATACACCACAGCCCCAATGGTTTTCGAGAAAAATCATGGCCTCAATTATTCTCATCACTAGTATTCAGGCAGAGATGAAGTTGTGGTTCAGGAATCCATTGGAGAGGATGTTCACAATCAAACAAGGAGTAAAGACGATGAGAAAAAGTAGTTGCATAGGAGAACAAGAGAGAAGGAAACTAAGAGGATTTCCATGGCTGGCGGAAATTTATCAGATTTCCATGGCTGGCGGAAATTTATCAGATTTATAAGTTCATTTTCTTTCTTCCAAAGAGGAGAACGCCATCAGAACAACATATGGATCTTAATCAAGAGTAGGGGATTATGGTCCATAACTTCACCGCTACCTCCTTTTTCACTTTCTCTCTCTGGCCCCAGATGAATCTGCTCTCTCTCTCTCTCTCTCTCTC